TTCATGATTTCCAGCATCAGACAGTGGACTTGGTACATTCTCAAAACCTTTCGCCGGCATCGTAGTCGGCATCATCAGTGAGCCTTACCATTCTCCGCACCAAGATACGAACTCGTCAAAGAGACAAGTCCTTGACAAACGTTCTGCCGAAAACGGTTACACTATCACTCCTCTTACTGTCCTAGCCTATATATCTACTCTTTACCCTCCTATCCCATTGCCACCCTATCACAACTTCTCACTTGCTTGCATTCCACTCGTCAAAATGTGTGCCCTTTTGTGGAAAATCTAATGTGGCCTCATCACACTTGCTATTCACCCGCCCCCCTCTCTTTGATAGGCTAATCAGACTCGCGCCTCCAATCTGGATCCTCTCATTGTCTCGTAGATCCGTTCCTTATCTTTCTGGTTGACCGATTTCACTCGATTCCAGTTCCAGTGTGCATTTCACTCCAGGCGCTATTTCTCAAGGCCCTAAAAGCACGTACACTGCAGCCTCACCAAGCAAAGGCGACCATAACAAAAGCCACACCATCTTGGTCTTTATATCTTTAATTATTTTTTATTTCATTTAAAGAGACGACAGAGAGTTTTATAATTCGTATGGTTATACTTAATTTTCTCGTGGGAAATTAAAAACCAATACAAAAATAATTTATCTGTTAACTAATTGCCTAAATATAGAGTAACTTTTGAATTTGATAAAATAAAACAGAGAGTCTCATCTCCTTCGGTGGAAAGAGCGTGGAATAAACTTTAATTCTACTTTTTATTTCTAAAAAGCCATTATCTTAAAATTATATTAAAAAATAATATGTCTTTCGATCAGATGTCCAAGTCAGTAGTAGTATGCGTCTCTTATGTCGGTGGAAAGAGGGGAACTCCCAAATCAAAATCGTTCCACTTGATGAATAATAAGAGCAGTTCGATGCCCGAATTTTTCTTCTTGTCCTTGAGTGGTTATTGTTTGCATCTCAGGCGTATTCTTAGCCTCATCATGAAGACCCTCGACCACAGCAGCCCGGAAAGTGATGAGACGGTGTTGCCACAAGTTTAATCGTATTCTCTTTTAACCCTATAAACTAAAAGGTGCCATCCTGAGCACAATGCAAAATGAGAAGTAGAGATAATCCTGTTGACCTATTTTCTGTTCGAACTTTATGGCCTCGATCAAGCAATCATTAAATCAGTCAACCAAAAATGGTGTTCAAGACGTTTAGAATGCCGGAATACTCTCCTCTCTTCATTTTTTATAAGACCACATCGCCTCTGCTATATGCTTTTAATCCCTTTGAATGTGCTCTTTATTCGAAAGAGGACCTAAGGATCTTTGTGAACTTACTACTTTCACATTTTATTGCCTACCTCCTCCTCCACCTCACCCTCGTTTCCACATTTTATGCATTAGTAATAGATGCTGAATGAGCATATATATGAAACAATATCTGGAAAGCCTACCTTAGAGTTACCCATAGATTCGTACTTTGGCAACAGAGTTAACTCAGCTTGAGTAATCCAAGGGTCTTCAATTGGCAGGTCAAATATAAACAGAAACCAAACGATGCACCAAGCAATGCAAATTGCACCTGTAAATGGAAATACAGCAAAGAAGAGTTATGTAATAGCCAATATTTCACTTACGATAAAAAAGCAACTGTTGAGGCATCACGGTAAATCGAGCGTTTAAAATACCCATTTATTTCTAAATATACATCATTTTTCACGAACTTTTACAATATCGGCATTCAAAAGTGTTTATTTTGCTGGTGCTGCTCCACATTCATGAGAGGGATGTTGAAATGGGGATTGTTAGGCAAGCCGATTGGAGATCCTTCTTAGGTCACTGTGTGTACACCTGATTCGATTTTTGTTTTGAACATAGCAACGCTTAGGACTGAGATTTATGCTGTCTTATGAAGGACAAGGTAGTCAGTATGGTTCCTAAGACAATGAATCCATAGTCGAGAATTCACATATGGCCGTTAATTGAGACGAGGTCGTTTGGACTGTGAATGAAGGTATTTGGGCCAAACTACCAATCTTTTTTCATTCTTCTTTGCCCTATCGTTACTATTTAATCCTACGGCAAGTTCGATTAACCCCACTCGATATACTCATATGTAGATTTTCCTTTGTCGAGCATATCTAGCCAACACAAATTTTCGCTATGGAGTGCATGGGGACCCCAATAAAAATTATTTACAACAAAAAATAGTTATAACCATAGTAACATATCATCGTGTATATATAATTGTGATAATTCTTCCTGCATTTTAGCTGCAGAATAAATACCATCTATTTATCTTAGTATAATAAAGCAACCCAAACGAGTCTGCTAGCCTTCCCAAGTGATAGTAATTAAGGTGCCTCAAAGGAAAAGGGCGATCTTAAGCTGTGTATGCACATGCAATTTTGTCATGGATACTTCCTTTTAGCCCATACATTCTCAAATCTATGGTTAATAATAAGAGATGTATTCACCTAATTTTGTTTAAGGCGATGAAGGACTGATAGAAGAAGAATCTTCCCACATTGATATGAGTTAAGCTGACGTTTCCTTTGAATTTCCCATAGCCTTGCTTTCCCTAAA